AAAATATGTGCAAATGTTCCGTGTGCTTGAGAGTGAAAGATAAGACGCTTGGTTGCGTCGCTGTTGTACTTTGAATCTTCAGGGAGTGAAACATTTATCTGCTCGGGGGGAAAATGCTTCATATTTCGTTTATGTGCCCCCTGTGGGAGATCGATGTGAATGCTGCAGCTCGCAGATATAGTTTCTGTATCTTGTGAGAGAGAGAAGCACAGTCCTGCGTATGGATGAAGATATAACATGTATATCTGTAATATGAGAGGGAGAGGACAGGGAGGGAGAAAACGGGGGGCTTGCTAAATTATGCAGTTTCAATTTCCCCATTTAGGGAGGATAGATCAATTTCTCATGCTAAAACCATTAACCCTTAGGATGGGCAGCGTTGCCATAGCAACACGAATTATGTCCCTTCATCAGAAGCACCTGTTTTCACGCTCGTACAAGCTCACAGACACACGCACCGATTAGTAAATTAGACCACGCAAGACTGACTGGGACTAGATCTACAGTGACCTCTCTCTGGCTTCACACACACACGCACACGCACACACACACACGCACACACACACACACACACACACACACACACACACGCAGAGACACAGCCGTATCTGTTGAATTAAAGGCATCATTACAGAAAAGAAACCTACAAGTGTCAGTTCATAAATGAACAGTGTGTGTTTGTGTGTGTGTGTGTGTGTGTGTGTGTGTGTGTGTGTGTGTGTGTCTGTGTGTGTCTGTGTCTGTCTGTACTTAATTGCATTGTCTCAGTCAGGGCAGGGTCCCTTTTGCACTGGAGCCCATGGGGAGTTGTATTTCATCAACCCTCCCTGGGGATGGGTGTGTGTACGTATTTGTACCACTATGACTATGCACACATAGACACCTCTCTGCTCTCCTCCCAGTGTTTCATTTCCAACTTCTTTCCCTCTTTATTTTTCATCCCTTATTTCAGTCGTCCTCTCTCTTCTTCATTAAATCCTGTTTTCTTCTGTTTGCATTATGGTCTCTGAACATCTCGATGACCCCACCCCTCCTTCTCTCTTTTATCTTCCATTCTCTCCTCTCTTGGCAGCAGTCCCCTATCCTTCTTTTCCCCTCCCCCATTTCCCCCACCCCCACCATCCAAATGGCCCTCCGGTCAGAACACAAGATGGTCAGTGGGTTGTATATTATGTGGTGTATCCATGTTCATTGTTTTTCTGTTCTGTTCTCCCAAAAGCCCTTTGAAAAAATACTATTTGTCCATTTAATTTAAATGTTTATATATATATATATACAGTAAAAAAATCTATTGTTTAGAAGTGTTTATGTGCATTTGTTTTGCTTGTAACTTCTCTGTATGCACTTGTACCTATGTATGCACATACCACTTGAGCTGATTGGCAGGTCATTGATTAACCTTAGCCATGCCCACATTGCCCCATGGGATTATATTGTCAACAAAGGCTCTGACAAACCACTAGCTACTAGCCAACAATGCTGGGACACAATGTTGCATGCTGGGAATGATAAATGGAGATGATAAGGTGAGATGGATGTTAGGCGAAGCTTTGATGTGAAGAATTTATTTTCTGTTTGAATGGGATAGTTTTAGTTGGAATTTGGTACACGGTGTATGCAGCAGTATAGAGACCCTGCAGGGTTCTGTACTGTCTTGGGTGTTTGGGTGGTGCTTAGTCCCTGCTGAACTACAAGGAAGTGTGTATTGCTAAATGTGCATTGTGTGTATGTATGTATTCGTATTTGTGCAGCCCAGAAAGATCACAGAAAATTTTAAAAAGTCGGGCTTACGCATACGGTGCTTTTGTAACAGTAACTCCTGGTAAATTAACCAAACATGCTGCACAAAAAGCACATATTCACATTGTTTGAAATAAACTCCAATCATCACCTTCTTCTCTTCAAGCTCGTTTTAGAAATGTAGAAATGCTACTTTGAGCTTCCTGCAGTGCACCACACTACTGTAGCATGAATGCTTAAAGAAAGTTGAGGCTTTTTCTCCCCCTAAAAACTGGATTATTTATTATTGTGGAAATGCCTCTGGCTCTTCTGTGAGAAGCTTCCTGGGGCTCATTTCTCAGCAACCATCCAGCTGTAAACCTTCCCCGTCTGTGTGCACCCAGAGGACCCTGCAGAGGGAGGTGTCACACAGCCACAAAGGCATTCGCAGAAAAAGTGAAGCACTGCTCTGCTCTGTGGATGTAAATTCTCTCTTTCTCCCTCTCTCTTTCGCTGCTGTCCAACAGCTTGTCCAAGAGATGAAACTCCCACACACACAGGCACACACGTGTCTCTGCCTGGCTGGTATGCTTCACTGCAATGTCAGGTAGGGTCTTGTGCCTGTAGAGCAGCAGGGCTCAGATTGGATTCCTTGGCTCCTTGGCTCCTTGGCTCTAGTTTATTGCATGGAAGGTTATGCCTTGATAGGGCTTGTGGTTAGTCTCAGGTCTGTGTGTGGTGAGTGTGCTTGTGTGTACAGCTGTGTGAGGATAGAATTTGGATTTCTGCCTTTAATTCCCAAAACACATTCCTTTTCAAATGGCTTTTCCAGTCAGTTATTTTCTATGGCATGAAACAGAAGACAGCCATACTGATTGTCTGTCTTCCACGGCTTCTGTTTTTGTTCATTAAAGCCCCGAAAGCGCTGGGAGAAAGAGAATGACAGCATAAGAGAGTACAGTTGTATTCCTTGGCTTGCTGTCTTGTATCACTTGGTGGCTTGTGAGGAGTTTTCCACAGTGAAAAAGATACTCAGAGCTTTTATGTGTGGTATTTATCAAGTATTTAGGAATGAAGTGTGTCCTCAGAGGGAAGAATGGATGGTTTATTCCACTCATATTTTCTGCTCAGTAGGGAAATAGGTCAGCAATGTTATCCAGAGCTGGATCTGTGTTTGTACTTAACAGGTTCCTCATACCATTTGAGTTAAGATAGTGGGTTCAGAGATTTTTTTAATGACATAAAATGTGGTATACCAGAGAGACTGGGAATACTGGAATGAAAGGGGATGGATGCAAGTGCAAGGAATTTGTTGGAGCTCTCTGCCTTAGAGGGCAAATCTAACGCTACTGAAGCAAAACTATGTTATATGTACTAAACAGGGTAGTTACAGGATAATGGTAAAAGCCTAAATAAAGGATAACAGTAGGATAAGTAGAGAAGAGTTACAAAGTGAATAAACTGATTTAGTAATATCGTGAGAAAGCAATCTCTATCTTAAGTTTCCTAATAATAGCTAACATTAGCCACTATGAGCTGCTGGTCATAACAGACCAAGTAGGGTGTAGCTGGATTGAGCAAGGGAGCATTGTATTGATTGTACTCAGTTCAACTTTCATTTCTAAGAGGAAGAATCAGTTATTTTTATCTGTCAAAGGTTACAGAGTCAAAGCTTTTATGGTGCCTTAAGATGTTTTTTTGTCCAAATTATTAAAGTTAACAAAGTAGACAGCATGTAGCACACAGCGACCCCTGTGATCCCAAAAAGTACTATACAGTGTCATATGCAGTTTTTAAATGGAGGGAATTTAGATTACAATTGCTCTATATTTTTAGTTATTGTTTTTTTTTGCCTTCTCAAGTTAATCTTTTTTTTTTGGTTATTTTTTGATTGATTTACATGAACTAAACTAAACTCACATTATCTTGATATGGTGAAACAGCTCAACTGGCTAAATGGCTAAATTGATTTCAACTTTTTAACATTAGTGGCTCCACATGAACAAAGACAGGGGTTACGATAACATTCATGTGACAACCACCTGTTAGCATGTGACCTAATTTACATACCTGGGTCACATGAAAACAACTAACTAAACCATCTCCTTGACAATAGAGCAGCACTATCAGCTGAGAAAGGCCAGGAGATGTGGTTGAAAGCTCTGGAAATAAGTAAGTTGGACACTTTTTCTTTTCAAGACTGTTGAAGTCTAGTAGCAGACCTTGAACCTTTACTTTGACTCCATCATCGTCAGTGTTATCCTGTACAAGTACAACAAAGGCTAAGCTAAAAAGAAAAGTCCACACACACTAAAAAACCACCTGCAGCTTAATCTTCCTCTACAGTAAGAGTTGCAAACATTTCTGTGGATTTTGATTCTCTCTACCACCATAAATAGCGCTGATGGGAAGAAGGGAATGTTGCCATGGTGACACAGTGCTGTGGCAGCCGCCGGTAATTATTCTGGTTTAAGTGCCAGCGGAGGCACACACGAGCTGGCACGCAGTGGCAGATAGTGACACCTGGACACAAGCCTCTCAGACGAGACTGAATCGGGAATTTATCAGGCCAGACGTTAGTCGCACAACGTTTTTGGCTGCGTGTGGAGAAATGTAAAGCAAACTCAGGAGATCAAGGTCAAAATCTAATAGAATAAGAGTGTGTATTCAGATATTTGTACAACGCTGGTGTAACAGCAGAGATTTAGAGGTTTGACAGCAGGTTGGGAGGCTGAAACACGGAAGCTTGTTGAGTGTAAAAGATGTGTGTGTCCATGATGTTATACAGTGAATATCATGTGTTATATGATACAGTGATGTCACCTGGTTATTATCCTCTCAGTTACATGGGCAGACTGGTCAATAAAGTGGACATTGTGTGTGTGTGAAGACACTGCCTATGGCTCAAAGTGTGTGTGTGTGTGTGTGTGTGTGTGTGTGTGTGTGTGTGTGTGTGTGTGTGTGTGTGTGTGTGTGTGTGTGTGTGTGTCGGAGAGGTTGCAGGCAGCCTGTTGTCCAATATGTATTTGATATGGGTATTAAAAAACACAAACATAGGCTACTCACAATTCCCTCACCGCTCTCCCACTCACACAGCCTACATTCATGCAACCACACACACACACACACACACACACACACACACACACACACACACACACACACACACACACACACAACAAAACACTCCTAGGATAATATTCAGCTCAGTGCTTTACTTCCACCAAGCAGTAATCCCCCCCCCTCCTCTCCCCTTCTAATTTTTATCTGCTCTCTTCCAGGCGAGGCCAACCTGACTAATCATCCAAGGTGTCAAGGTAAGGTTGTGTTTGCCTCTCACCAGCCACTCGCACTGATAACAACATGAGCCCCGGTGTGTTTTTCATCCGGGAAAACACAACCCCGGCGTTTCAACAAAAACAGGAATTCCTCAGCGTCCTTTTTGAAGAAGAAGTTAAAATTGGCTTCTGCAGCTCCATCTGATTCGCCACAAAACTTCCTTCAATGCTAGAAGACGGGGAGGAGTGTTCCCCCCCCCCAACTCCCCACACTCCCCACACTCCCCGGTCGCATTAGCATAGGCGAGCACAGAGACACAATGGAGTTTTTCACCACCGGTGCAAAATACACATATTCTGTACACACGCATACACATTGCTGCAGACGGGAGTTTTTGCCTCATGCACACGCCTGGAGAGGAAGAGACGGGAAGAGATAGATTGACATATTTTTGTCACCGTCTCCCGATTCTTGCCAGGTGTGCTGTAGCTGTCTTGTCGGCTGATTGAAAGGAGAAGGGCCTGCAAAAGAGGGCAGATGGATAGATAACCGGAGAGAAAACACTCCTGACTTTGTGTTTTCTTCCTGCTCGCTCTCTTTCCCTGCAAGTCATCTCGCCTGTCACCTTCTCTTTTTCATCACCTTTTCATTCCTGCCCTCCATCCATATCATACACAAATATCCTCACATGCACACACAGTGGAAAACAAACCCTCCACTCCACATTCATCGTTCTGAGTTTTTTTTAGAGTAGCACACAAGCTCATCGCAAGCCACTGCCTCCCCTGCCGTGAGGCACCGCGACACCACACAGTGCCATAAATCACCCATGATAACATCAGGGGTTCCATCAGTTCAGTGAAACCCAACTTTGGCTGTTAGACAGAGACGTGATGAGGTTGCTTATGCTGTGCGCAAAGCCCAGACACAAGTTGTGGAGGCTCTGGTGTGAGGGCCACTGCAGCAGACTCCCTGTCTGCACTGCAGTCTGACTCTGCTATGTGCTGCCACCTGCTGGCCACGTCTGGGCACAGTATGCAGTTGGAGTTGCTGGTTAACAGGAGATTTGACAGTATTATTAAACCCTTTGTTCCTCATTAATTAATCTTAAGGAGGAAAGTGATCAAAGACATTAAAGGACCTGGATAAAAGTAAGATTTCAGGGCATCAGATGAGTAAAACATGTTTTATTAAAGATATCACGTGTAGTTTCTATCCTCTACAAATGGTCAGATTGAAATGTTCATGTTGCTACTCATTGCTGTTTCACAATAGAATTGATGGGTGACTAATGCAGTTTCCTGTGATGAAGCAGCTGAACCAAAATCAACTCAATCCAGTGTTTGCTTGATAAATAAGACACAGTTTGCAGTTTGCCTGGTTGTATCCTTCAGTAAATTGCACTCGTCCTCAGCAAACAATAATCATTTCGGATGTGCTGAAAAACATGCAGATTATCCTACTACATATTTAATCCCACATAAGGTAATACAGTGTGGGGTTTCCACAAGAACTATTTGCATAGTGTTTGTGTCCACATAAAACATGATCTAACAAGAAAATCATCACTTGTATATTATTTAATTTTGTTTGTGGGTTTTCAGTCTGCAAAGAATTATAATAACAAATTTTAATGCGTCTTTGTTTTTTTTTGTTTGTGTTTCCCCAGACAGTACCTGTCAGATGTCCTCTCTTCCCACAGTGTGATGCGTCATGGCTCCAGTGCTGAGTGGAGTGTGGTGGGGGCCGGAGGCGGGTGTCGTCGGGTCGGGGGCGGCAGCTGCTACTGGGGTGGCGTCTTGGCTGGGCAGTGGGCAGCTGGTCCTGGCCATCATCCTCAGCACCCTTACCGCCCTGCTGCTGGTCTCTGTGCTGCTGCTTCTATGTGCTAGCTGCCAGGGGTGAGCACCCTCACACACACACACACACACACACACACACACACACACACACACACACACGTACATGTACTTACATGTTACAACAACAGTTTCTTGGTGTTGTGTATTGACGCATCCTGCAGCCAAATATCTAAGCAGAAACCACTCCTGCTGGAAATGCCGGCTCTGCATTGTAGTGTTCAAATTAGTGCAAATACCTTAGAGGGCATTCTAAGCTACAGTAATTATAGGTACAGCTACAATGAAGAACATTTCTGCTGAGAACCAATAAAGAATGTCCTCAGGGATAATATGGCTTTGGTATAACAATTATGAATGGATATGTGTGCTGTTAAAGGGGGCTGGCATGTAGAAAGTGTTGTATTGTAGTTTTTTTTCTATATACCCAAGAGTTAAGAGCTGTAATAGCCCTAAGCAATGAATACAATCAATAAAAATACCAAGAAAAGTACCCAGGCTAATGCATTGCTGTTATCGTTACTTTTTAAGTGGCAGGAAGAAGCCAGAAACCAGCAGACAACCTGTGACATCTATATTTTGAAACAAATTACCTCTTAAAAAGCTGGTAGCTGATGGAATATAAGTCCCCGTATACGTTGGAGGATTTGAACACCCTTAAACCTGACAACCGGCACTTAAACCCTCATAGTTATTGTTCCATTTAAGCCAAGAGCCAAAACAATAAATAACAGAGTCCTGCAATGATCCGAGGAGAGACGCAGCTTAATTTTCCTTTAGATTCACACAAGACGTTCACACCACACATTGCGATATTAGGGCTGTCTGGTGTCCTCTGTGATCTGTAATAATCCACCTTTTATCCCTCTCTCTGTTCTTTCACTTTCCAGTCAGAAGAAGGCAGCCAATGGACACCCAGCAGGAGACCATGAGAACCTCATGAATGGAGTGAGTAAGACTTGGATAGATTAATGAATGAACTGCAGATGTTGAATAAATAGTTCAACATTATACTAATATAAACAATATTTAAATAAATATACTCCTAGTTAACTTAGCTTAGCATGAAGACTGGAGCAGAGTGGAAACAGCTAGCCTGGCTCTGTCCAGAGGTATACAAAATCCTCATACCAGCACCCTTAAAGCTTGTCAGTTAACATGTTAGTTCTTGTTTGTTTCATCGATGCAAAAAAAAAGCTTGTGGTTTTGTCAGGGTTTATGGGGTGGTCTTTTTGTTGGCCAAGTGCAGTCACTTCCTTCCTCTTGTCCAGGAAATGACCCAAAAGTCAAACATTTCTTTAAGGGAAATTAAAGGCAGGTTTTGATAGCATATTAGAGGGCGGCTTTGATGAAGAAACTGAATTCATTTCTAAAATTGTGATAAGTTTCAAGTTTCACTTACTTTATTTTTGTGTGTGGGAGTGTGTTATATTAGATGTGGAGGAGAACAGCTGTGTGTTTTGAGTAGGCTTGCCACAGTGCATCAGGCAGATTAGTAATTACGTGTGTGAGAACATTCACATTTACATATAGACACATACACACAGACACACACACATACTCTCTCACATATGCAAACAATAGTCTGTAACCAGGTCAGGGTTCTGTAACATCTTGGGATTCTGGGAAAGTAGAGAAAGTCAAATGATTAAATCTAAACGTTGGAAACATCTTAAACAGAAGCACCCACACTGTGATACAGAAGGAAGTACGTGCACACAGCAAGACACACATACTTAACATACAGTCCTCATTACTCCCTGCATGTGTGAGTGACATGTCTGTAATCAGGCAGTGTAACCACTTGTAAATGAAGCTGTGGATAGAGCTTCCACATTGGCTGCATGCCTGAGGAGTAGCGCGCACACACACACACACACACACACACACACACACACACACACACACACACACACACACATCCTCTGACATTTGTCTTCTAACCCTCTTCCATTACACTGACACAGAAACATACACCAAACAAAACCTCCCTACACATAGCTGATTGACAGCCTCCAGTTGTTGGCAAGATTGTTTCTAAATTGCCGGCAGCCGCTGATAGGAAGTGGTTACTACTTCTGCTAAGAGAGCACATGTGGGAAATTCAAGTCATTCCTGTTCACATGTCAAGTTATTATACAATTAAGTTTATGAGTTCAGTTTATTTAGAAAATGGACAGTGCAAATTGAGAAATAAGAACCTGCCAAAAATAAGCCAAAAGGCTATTTTTTATCTGTAGTCCCTGGCCAAGATGTTAAATAGGCTTCCAACACAGAATGGCAGTTTAAAGATTGGAAAAGGACAAACACATTTAAAAACATTTATACTTAAAGCAACTTTAGCAGAATTGTAAATATAGTAGTTGAAAATACATCAAAGCAAAAACTAAACAGTGCATGCAATTTAAAGTATTGTAGTGTATATTTCTTTTTCTTAAGTCATTGAAAAGAAGAATGAAATTAAATTCAATAAGACCATTAAGACTATATATTATTTATAGAGTTGACATTTGCACTTTCTAGGTATGTACTACTCATAATGTCACTATGTGTTCTGCTCCTGACCATCGTGTCACGGGTGTAGATAATAATTACCAACTCCCATAATACTGATGCTTCAGTAACCAAGCAACATTTAAGTGTGACAAATGCCTGGCTTTCAAAGACTAAGTGACATCCACTTACTCTCTTATCCTGTCACTCCCTCTGGGGCTTTGTGTGTCAGCCTTCATACTCCCATGTGCACATACACATTCCTTAGAGCCTTTTAGCATTTGATGGATATCTTCACTACAACCCTGCAATTGCGAGGTGGTCAAATAGTGTTCAGAAGGGGCCCACTGAAATGACGGACCATGTCACAGCCTGATAGGTTAAATGGGGTTCTTTGTCGTTGCGGATGAGTAGATTAGCTCTCCTTGCTCACCTGCAATCAGTCTGACTGTCTTCGGCTGCGACCATGGCTGGACATGGAGGCACTCTCTCCTTCGCCTCCCACGTTTCCTGTTTTAATTACGTTGTTTAAATGTGTCTTTAATTCCATCTGAACGTAGACTTATTAAACTTGTGTTTCCAGCCAAAAAAGGAGTGTGTGAACAATTTTGGTGTCCTGATAAAGTTAACAAAGTGTTGAAAGCACAGGCTCTGTGATTGTATGGTTTATGGGTAGATTTGAACACACGCTATAGATAACTTTGGAACACTAGCCTATTTTCAAAAGTTATCTTTATAATTGTTCTACCATGAGGATCAGCATGTGGATGTGGAATAAAATGAGAGAAGACTGAACTTAGATGAGGCTGAGAGACTAAGACTTTATCTTGCAGCTACTTCTCACCGTGGTCAAGAAAATAAAACAACAAAAGAACAACATAAGAGATATTTGGGGCATAAAATAGTTAAAAGATTACATCATAGACACCAATAGTTATGAGAGTATTTGACCACTAGGTGGGGTTGTGGAGCTTCTGATATGCAACCTTCTTCACACAGAAGGAAAACAACAAACCTAAACAAAGAGAATCTTGACTTGCACCAGTTGATAATCGTTCATAGTGTTTTCGAAGCTCTTAGTAGTGAGTGACGGAGCGACACCTTTGCCTGCACAAACAAGACACTTCATGTTTAAAGTACATTTTGATAAATCGTGCCTCAATGCGGCAGGTGCTCAGCACATGCAGTGTTTATTAATGCCGTTTCTGTTATTTTAAGTGGTTGCTCACTTCTAGAGCCGATTTGGCTGCTGATTTTGCCACGTGATGTAGCAAATATAGAAACAGCCTTCAACTGGAAGACATGGTGTAAAGACTCAAAAATCTGCTTTGCTTAAGTGTCCTTGAGCAAGACTGAACCTCTGCCAGCTGCAGGGTTGCTCTGTAGCTTGGACTTTACTGTAGAGGGCAGGAAGGTAACATAGGGAAGCAAATTTCCCTGTGGGTATCCATACTGTATTATCTTCTAGGGTTTTCATTTGTATTCATGTGACAGCACTAATGTCTGTCATTTTACCCCCCTCAGTCATACTGTGCTATTATTTTTGACTTGGTTTCAGTGTCTGTTGTTAATGAACCACAGTGACATTAAAAACATGAAGTGAGATGTGATCATGCAAGATTTTTAGGCTGAGGAAGGATGAGAAATCAGCCCTACTTGTCAAAAACCATAACTGAGATAAGAAAAAGCAGCATTGCATCTTCATAACGCGTAAAACATTTAACGTTTTTTATTTTTTTGACATGTGAGCTATCTCTAAATGTCTTTTGTTGGTGGGTAAAAATGCACTACATTTAATATGCATGCGTACCATACTGATAATGAGCTTGAATTAATCAGTAATGTGATTGGAAAAGCTAAGAAAAGCACAGACAAAGAACAGGGAAGCCTGGAAATTGTAATCAGTGCTGCAAATATGAGAGAAATCCCCCAAATCCTGAAAAATAACATTACAGTCTGCTGACAGTGGCTTCTGGATTGCACCGAGGTGTGAAAGTCATCTACCCGGTGCAAGCTGACCAGTGCAAATTGATTTCTGTTCTCTTTAGGAATGTCAATGTTTTTGGGGCTGACGTGTAATTGTAATAATGACCTAAGAATGGATGTTTTAAATGCTTCAGTTTTGTTTGCAGCGAGTTGAGCTGCCAACGTCTGAGCTTCGCCCAGGACAAACATCTTGTCGTTTGTTGTGCAGGTGTCGGAGAAAGAGACAATCAGCCAGTCAGCAGACAGTCCAGCGACTGATGTGGCCGTCAGCACCTCTCACAATGGTCCTCTAACCAGCGGTACAAGTAAGACAAGATAGTTAGCATCAGCATGTCATGTCTTTGTTGTCCGTGCAGTATTATGTATGGTTTCAATATATATATATATATATATATATATACACACACACACACACATATATACTATATACTGATATTGGAGTCAGTGCTGGCAAAGTACAGCATGTTTGATATGATAATATCATTTGCTCGGCAGCTGGTGTTATGCAACGTTTTTGTTGTCTTTCAGTCTTAGTTCATGTGAAACCTCCGCTGTTTTTTTACAGCCATATAATATTCTTAGTCTTTCTTCTTTTTTTTTTTACTACATATCAGAGACAGAAAACTAGAAATAGTAATGGATTTATTCTGCAGGGATATCTGACTCATTACAAAACTACTCTGAAATAAATGATAATACCATCTTTCTCTCATAAAAAACAAATGAGAATCTTTTTACCTGCCCTGACTCTTTTTTTCTCTGCTCCACCAGTCCTCACAGACACACAGGACACCAGTCCACAGCCGTCAGAGGACATGCTCTCCAGCCAATCAGAGCTCAGGTCCTCCAAGTGTCCTCAGGACCGTGAGCTTCCCAGCATTCCTCCCAACAACGCCCTTATTGGGGACGGACCCCCAGCCTCAGGGGACAGCACCTATGAGGTCAGTGTTCACCACACAGCAGCCAAATTGTGTCTTTAATTGTACTGAGCTTGAATGTGGCTGGATATTAAAACTTGGTTGGTTGGATTGGTGATTGATTGTTTGATTGATAGAGCTCAGGGTCAAAATATAGAGAGAAATAATTTTTTTCCTTAAGCATTTGATGAATAAATTGAATTTACAATGAGAACACAGAAGCATTAAATGCATTTAGCTAATTGTCAAGCATATTAAAGGACCCAGTGTATGTATCTGATTTCCAGGTGGTGAAAGAGATTGCTGTGGCTTCACGTGACGTCAGCGTCGAAGACTCCCTGTACGAGACGGTTAAGGAACTCAAAGACCCCCCAACGCAGCTCGGCCTCCCCAACGGTACCGTCCAGCTGAGCTCCGATGAACCTCACCATCATCCCTCTGCCCATCTCAACGGCCACCTTAGCCCCTCCACACCTGAGCGGGGGCCCCTGTGCACAGGGGTGGAGTACGCCTCCATCGACCTGAATAAGAAGAGCCGTCACAGCGCGGACATGGAGGCCAAAAGGCGCTCTGATAATGCCAGCGTTCCCTCCCACAGGCCTCTGGAGGAGCCAGAGGAGGACTTGCCTCCACCGGTACCAGAGAAGGTTCTGGATGAAAATGACAACCAGCCTGTGGTGATGAATGGGCTGGCGGGGGCTGGGCTGCACAATGGAGAGGTAAGAATAGTGTGTGTGTGTGTGTGTGTGTGTGTGTGTGTGTGTGTGTGTGTGTGTGTGTGTGTGGGTGTGTGGTCTTACATCTTATGCACAGGACTTACAATATTTAAGAAAAGTTACATATTGTTGCTTTTAGAGGTTGATTTTGAAGGTAGAAGCATTTCTTTCCTTTCTAATTTAAGTTAAATTTAATATTAATGCATAAAAGACTGAATAAACCTACACAAAATGTTACTAACTTGTTCATTCTCATCCCAATCATAATAGCACTGTTTATTCTTCTTATATAAACTTGAGGTGTTGGATCTGCTTTGCAACACGGTGTGTATATGTCAGCGTACAGCTGGCCTTACCATGAGACCACAGAGAACAAAGAAAAGGGGAGTTGTGTCACCACTACAATTATCATCTGCTAAGCTGCCTGCTCAGGGCTGCTTTAGGGAGAGTGACAGACCAAGGCAGAGAGAGAGAAAGGGGCAATGGTGTAGCAGTGAATATGGGAGCTGAAAGAGCAGAAGAGAGTAATAGATGAATAAGAGATAGTGACAGAGAGATGATGGGAGATTGACTCAAAAAGAGCTGAGAGAACTGGGAGGCATAAAGGGTGAAAGAGAAAGAGAGTCAAGAGTGAGAGACAGAGAGAAAAAAAGAAACCCAGCGGCATACAAATGAAGCCATCTGTAATAGAGAGGAGGGGAGAGAGAAGATATGATGATAAAGAAGATGAGAAGGAAGAGGGGTGAGAGATGGAGATGTAAAGGAGAAAAGGCGTGAGAGAGAAAAATAAGAGAAGGAAAGCGGTTCAGTGAAGATCTGCTGCTGCTGCTCTCAGCGTGCTGCCGTCCACATGCGGAGATCTATCAGAAAAACACACATGCACCAACAAACCAACAAACACATGCGCTAACACACTCTCAGAGCTCAGAAAGAATTGCATCAGACTGTTGACAAGCACACAAACATCACGTTGTCAATCTGCCACGAAACGGCATGAGGTGGCAACTGCTCTTCTCTACACACTCTTCCTCTCTTAAGTCGTGTTCATATTTCTTTACTCCTGCATTACTTACTTGTAACTTGTTTCAAAGGATAATAATTTAATAATTTTTTTAGCAGTGCAACTGATGTCTGCCTCTTTGGTCAAACTGAAGAATCTCAATCGATATTGGCTGAATTGGTTGAGGTTTGGTACAGATATCCATGGTGCCAAGAGGATGAATCCTAATGACTTTGTTGATCCCTTGACTTTTCCTTTAGCACTGCCATGAAGCTGAAAGTTATGTTTTTCAGTGAAACGTCTCACGTGCCATGAATTTCGGTACACACATACATACATGCCCCCCTTCGGTGATCCATACTTCCTAGTTGCTGTAGTGTACTCCGTCCTTACAATTGCTTCCCCCCTCAGCTCTGGCAAACCAGTAATTGCTGGTTGAAGTATATCGCTTCACTACCGGTGTGCAGCGAATGTCGCCATAGACACCACATTTAAAACCTCTGATATACTGAAAAACACAGAGAGACTGACCTGCCGGTGACAGGGTTAATTGGTACTTGTTTGGAGAGGACCTGAATGTCAAGCAGTCAGTTGCTGAGATTTGTGAAGGTGGTAACATCACTAAAAAAGTCAGACAGGGCAAGGGACATGAGCAGCCAGATGGTCATACAGAACAAAATCTTAAGTTAGCCAAACTTCTTTTAGAAGAGCTGTCCATTATAAGTATTCATCACAGTCTTCCTGGTCCAACTTTGAGGACCAGAAACCAGAATTATCCTTTATTATACTGTTTTCCTTGGATCTCCTTTCCTCTCTTCATCTTCACCCCCCCTTTCTTTATTTCTCTTCTCCTGTTTAAGTCACATCTCTCTGTTCCTTTGTCTCTGCTGTTGTAGCCAATTAGTTAATCACTGCTGCTCATTTGGACAGCAGGCGAGTCCAGCCTCATCTGACCCTCGTATACATGATGAAATCTTGATCTACTGAGCTACAATATATCTCCCAACAACCCACCCACACACACACACACACACACACACACACACACAAATGTACTCATTTATAAACGCACCCACATGTACTTTGTTGGCATGTCTAGTCAGCATTAATTCTGTTATTTCTCCCCATCCCCCTGTATTACACACGCACTCACAGATACTACGACGTGTGTGTTTACATATAGTCTGGTACACATAGACTCCCTGGGGCTGATTTAAGGTTAACCCTGAATGTTCCCGGCTCCCCGTGGTTTACGCCCGTGTATGACCAGGAGCTGTCGGTGATTTGTCTTGTCAAACCAAGTGTGTATGTTGTGCGTGTGTGTGTGTGTCTGAGCCTAGTGAGCGCCAGCTGGCCACTATCACTATGACAGTTAGTCTGGCTTCATGATGGATGATGCAGGCTATAGAAACTCTCTCTCTTTCTCTGACTTTCTCACACACACACACACACACACACACGCACACACACACACACACACAGTTGCTGGGGTGCCTCTATGTAAATCACTAAGAGGAATCCCCTCAGGTAGCAGCTCGGTAAATGCATTTTTCCATACGTACACATGGTGTCTAGTTAAACATTCACTGCAGTCATACACAGAAACACACACTCAGTCTTTTTTTTGACCCTTCATTCACAGTATCTTTGATCCTGTGCAGTTGTACAGTTATCGAACCGTTATGAACAGCAGTAACACTTGTTTGCAGTCATTTGCCTGTGGGCTTTTCATGTGAGGTGCGTGAAATTAATTTGACCCAGCCAGCGGGCTGCTGGGATAGACGCTGGGGACACGGCCCAGGTAAACTGCTGGTCAGCACTGTTGAGGCGCTAAAGGGAATCGTTATTTCCTATCATTAAGATTTCAGAACATAATATGTGTGCGTGTGTTGCAACATATAATTTGAGTTGGTGTTGATTGGTGGTTTATATATTTTTGCATATCCACAGTTGGTTTAGGGTAAGAGGCAAGACTGCACATAATCTGAGCTGATGTATTCAAACCGATTTCTATGTGCATATGTCAACATGCACGTCAGCATGATTGACACACTGACACCTGAGTCGTCCATCTTCTGAGGCCGCTGTAATCAGCTTACTGTCATACTTGCGTGTCCTGTATGTCATTGTATCTCCTGCGTACACATGAACACATTCCCATAATCCAATCTTACATACACACACGCAAACGTTTCATTGTAACACGTCAAAATATTAATCTCTCAGATGTAATGCCTCGATGTGTAGACACAAAACAAACACACGTCCACATGGTGTTACATGTCTTTATATTAGTTTAATATGCATAAAATAAAGTTTAAATTTGAAGTCCATTTGCAATAACCCAGGGTAAATACTGTGTTTATTGCTGACTGTGACTGACTTAATGAAGATTCCACTTAAGTTTGCAGTGATAACTTGAGCCAGGAAGAAGGAGGCAGCAAATTAGATGAATAAATATTGTGCGACACACTCAGAGGTGCAGCGACTGGGTCAAGTCACCTTTGTCCATGATTCGCACAAAGACTCCTCCGGGGCACTCTGCCTAATTGGTCGACTAATTAAAGCAAAATGAAAAAGGCATCTGCTGCATTACAGAGTGTGTGTCGGATCTATAAAAATAATCATGTCTCCGAACGTGCGTTATCCATAAAGTAATCATATTGATTTACACTCTTTGAGAAAATGCCAGGGAAACATGTATCTGCATGAAGATAATACGACACACAGCCAGGGGTGGACGGCTTGATGGATGATCTCCTTGCACAGTTTTTCATACGCTGTATAAGAACGTAGCTTGTGTGGCAACGTGCCCTTGATAAGCACCAAGTACTGCGCCTCAACAAGTGAACAGCTTTCCATTTTTTCAGATGCATCAACATTAACCTTGGTGCCTCCAGCCAAGGACTTTGTAAAACCGAATTTATTCCCTGCATCCAGTCAGAAAAATAACACAAAAAGCAATGTTTTCCTCTCAGAGAAGTGTGCGAAAATGAAAACTATTTAGTGAACGCTGGCAGCAATATTGAGGTTCTTGTTAGACTCCTGAGGTGTTTGGAGCTGCTGTCAGATGTGCTTTGTTGATTAATGGCTCCCTCATCGATCATAAGGCAGACAGAGGCTGTGCACAAAAACATCACACTCTCTGTCACTGCCTATTGACTTTCACTCAATAATTTTCTTAATGAATGGGTGGTTATATACAACATCAGCTTTGTATGAATTGCAGCAGAAACAGCAAATGCAGCGCCTGTTTCTCTAGTTTAGAAGTTCACTTCATTGATCGGTTACCAAGCACTCTCTTAAGACATTCTGAGAGGTGTTTGATGTTTCTGAGAACTTGTCAATAGTTTACCAGCATGTTTTAGTAATGCAGCTCAATAAGAACTGCAACCATATCTTAATTGCAGTCGTGCAAAGTTATTTGGAACAGCTCTAGCAATACCTTAAGTTTCAGTATTAAAGCTGCTTCTGATTATAACAGAAACTGTATAAAGTCTACATATTGATACTTTTTCCTGTACTTTTTACAACAGGAAATTCTTAAAAATAAGAATGTGTGACAACCCCTCCAACGTTCCTAACTTTCAGGAGAAGTGAGCATCCACGTTGTAGCCTTAGGAGTGTTTTAAACGTCTGATTCTGCACTCAGTCTATTCTTTCTGCCATATCTAAATGTATCTTTTTGTTCTTTCCTCCTCCAGTTACACTCCCCTCTGTCTCCTGCACCAGGGTTCGACAACCACATTCTGTCAGACAATGAGGTAAGTGTATGTTAAACTCCCTTATTCCCCAAACTGCCGTTTCCAGGCTTGAGACAGCAGCACTTTAACTTGGTGAATGCCAATGCTCCGAGCACCAAAAAGATTTTAAGGGGAAAAAAAACTGGTATAATACTCATACAACATCAGACAATACGCTCTGAGGGAAAAACCTAGCAGGGATCTTTTGCCAGAAATGCATCAGTTTATTATTGTGTTCAAATTCCTGTTATCCCAATAAATGTATGGTTATGTTCATGACAATTTTATACAGTTTCGCTAATAACCCAAATAAGGACCATTCACATATTGTCACATTATGTGTCTTCTCTGTCCCTCAGTCAGCAGTGTACTCTACAGTCAACAAAACAAACTGTGAAGATGCTGTGAATGAGGAAGATAAAGAGCACGACTACAGCAGCATCGCAGAGATCAAAGGTCTCGTCACAGCCTCTTCCTCGAGCGACCTCTACGCCACCGTCCGAGATATCTACACCCAGCCCGATGAACCCAAACTGGGGGAAGACCCCAACTTGGAAAGCATGGACCCCGGCTACGAAACCATCCGCATCCGAAAGACTAGTAGCTCGGATGACGACCACAGGGCCGGGGTAGGAGCGGAGGGGTCAGATGCTGGCAAGGCAGAACCCGACTACGAGAGCGTCGGAGAGTTGGGTCTGGGCCGTGAAACGTCCCGCCTCTAAGTTTTCCCCCCTCGTCATCTTCATCCGTGTCGGTTTGGGAGAAGCTTCCTCTCTGACGGCTTACAGACGTCCCTGTAGTGCTTTGAACCGCCTTCCAAGCATGCATTTGGTGCATGACTTGGGTGGGGGAATGGCTCACCACAGCATCTATCATCAACGCATGAGTGTCCTCTTTACAGCTTGGGTACGGTTTATCATATCTGAACTTTTAATTTATCAACCAGGGTGAATGTCATTGGTACTGGTAGGCCTGCTAAAAAAAATGAACTGTAGTACCTCAGTCATTGGGCATTAATCATTAATCATGGAGGAGTGCACTTTGGATCATCATTAAATTCCTCTTTTGTCTTTTTTGACATGTTTTAACACTTGAATGTGAAAAAGTTCAAATAAATAAACTATCAAATAAATATCAAATCAGAGCACACGTGCAGAATTTTAAGGTGTTAAGCCGAGGACACTTATCAGTGCCTGTCATATAAAAATTTTAAAAAAGACACCAAGAATTCAGTGCCATATAATCATGAAATTCATGCACTTACTGTACACACGAAGGTAACATTATTTCCTCCACTTCTGCAGCTGCTTGTGACTTTCTAGCTCGCTCCAGATGACTTTCAGTGTTTTATTGTGTCAGATGGTGAATTTCTTGGCTGTTCTTTGTCTGGTTGGCAGCACCTCCACTGTGGATTCTCTGCTTGAAATTCCTGTGAATGGGTTTTAGGCATCGAAAGCAAAAGCCAGACTTATCTGTGACCAAATGCTTAGCAGAAAACAAACATAGCATTTAATACAAACTGCAAACGCAAGGGTTGAACATGTTACAGGACAGGAGAAATTAATCACCTAGAACCAAAATGGATACCAGAGATGAGAGGAAAGGCTGGCGGTTTCACACGAGTTTGTGGTTTTCACAATACATTTCAAAAAGCATTTTTAGATGTTTTACAGTCCATGTCAAGGTTTTTTGTGAGATTCATATTTATTTGAAGATGCATATTGTTGTGTAATTGTGAAATGTTACAGAGTGTGTTTGTAAGAGAAGAGTAAAATAGGGTTTTATAGAAGTTTCTAGCATTTTTATTAAGATACTAAATGAAAGTGATTTGTGAGATGACAGTTTTAAAGGTACGCTTTCCCCTGGCTTTTTTTATCCATTGTTTTTAAAACACATAGATATGACGAGACCTATGATGAGACCATGTTTTTCTTTTTTCTTTTCTCATTTGCACAGGGGTCAAAACAAATATAAAAGATGTGTAATGTACAAACTTGCATTATTAATGCGACTCTGTATTTTTTGGTTGGTTGTCATGTATTTTAAGCCTACTCCTGGTACAGTATACAGTCTTCAGTTGGCATCCTGGATGATTTTAAAGCACAAGGATTGATATCATGGTACTGCATTTAAATACAGCTTATCAAAAGCATCATCACAGTCTAGTTATATCTGCACAATTTGAACATCGGATGCTTTTGAAGTTAGTAGAAGCACTCTGAGAAAAACATATCTGTCTGCTTGTAGCTTGTACTGACGACATGCCAACCAAGGCTTGTATATAGTTAGAGCACTATTTTAACCAACTGTTACTTGCTGGAAGTTTTATGTAAGCTTTTACTTATTTGTACAATGTCCAGAGTGGTATCATTTTAAACTAAGCCTGTTAAGAGCACTGATGTATGTCTGCATTGTTTTAAGGAAAACTGAAACCCTGCTTTTCACCTTGTATTGTTACTCAAAGCTGTCAAATAGCTTTTGAGCTCTGAGTAGTAACCAATCAAATGTCGGAAATATGGTACAATGTTTTGGTACATGCATTTTAAGAAACAGTAAGTGTGGTACTTTTATTTAAAAAAAAAAAAAAAAAGAATTAATGTCTCAGTACTGTTGTTTGATGTTTGTTTTCAGATTAACAGGGCCAACGCTTTTTGCTGTAAATATCTCTTTTACCGCTACAGTATCTCTTGTCTTTGCAGAAAAAGAAAAAAAATGGTGTCATTTGTTTCCACCCACATCAAAATATTACAGCCTTACAGTATCTCCAGCCTTAGTTCATGTTTCATTAGACATGCAGGAGCTTGTTGCTGGTTCAGACAAACACAGCCAGCTCAAGCTGACTGGCATTAGATTCATAAATGGTATCATACATTTGAAATGCTGTTGATTATCCTAGCAATGCTACTGTGAAAGAGGACTTTAAATGTATTCCACTCCCAGTATTTTAATAACAAAAATGGGTAAATTAAGCCCCCCGAAAAATAATAATTTCTGCATAGAGGTAATTATTATTATTATTACACCAGAAAAGATAAAATACAAACCACTATTCCTACCAACTGATGTGCCTGTGTATCAGGGTGGTGCCATCATTTAGATATAATGGTGTTCACAGAATGCTATAAATGACCTCTAAGGAAATTATCTGTCAAAGGGGGGCGTTTTAGTGCCAAATCTAATCAGGACAATACACACACAGATGCAGTTAATAGATACTTACCTAAAATCACTTATGCTATCTAGCTGTCTGTCTTAGTCACACACACACACACACGCACACGCACACACACACACACACACCCCTTCAGGGAATGGGGGTGTGGTACGGTTTTGGAGATGCTCCCTCACTGCCTCTCCTTCAGCTGTGCTACTTCTGTAATGAGACCATTTGTTCCCCCTACAACCAGACAACTCCATGGTGACACCTGCCTTTGATCACAGGGCAAAGCCTGTTTTGGACTTTATGGCCACATCTGTCACTCCGCTCTGTCCGATTTCCATTCTCTGCATGTAAATATTTTATGACATTAATTGTTCTATTAAAATATATATATAATAAATTGTGTCATTGTGTCTTCTTATTAACTTGGGGCCCTGTCATATAGAAAGATTGTAAGCTGCATATGATTTTCTAAAAACATTAAGTTTGACATTAATTAGGCTATTTGTTACCGGGATAACATTCACTGGTATATTCTCTCTGCCACGCTGGCTGATAATCACTGTGAATGAATTAGTCTCCTGGTAAACTTATTTATTAAAGCGCTGTGAACTTTCTAATGAAAATGAACAGCTATATCCTCTTGGAGAGCAACAACTTGTGTCACGTTGTGAGATCACACTTTCTTATTTAGTAGAGGATGTAGCTTTCATGAGAGTGTTATCTGCCTGTGAGTGTCATTATGTGCAGTGTTGTAATGAAAAGAACAGAAAAAAAAACCAATGTGACTGCTGGCTTATTGTTATCGTTACATTACATACATTTCTTACTGCGCTTATGCCAAGGCTGGCTAAGGTTCACCGATATAAATGTGCATTTTCATACATATTTGGATTTTATTTTAGCTATAGTACATAAAAACACTTCCCCATAGCACTGTTTGTTTGAACTGTCTGATGGTTGCTGGCTAAGAATTGGTTGGCTCTTGCCTGGGCAGATGTTGGAGCATGTTCACCCGAGCGCCTTTAGTAGGATAAAACTGAAAACTCCCATAACAAATAACATAATCTGTTGTGTTTACATTCACAAAAACAGAACAAGCAGTGCATTACTTTTCATTTCAGAACCAGATCATATCATTTAGAAGTCCCATGGCACCTGGAAACTAGGCTACATGCCTTTAACAACTAGGTTATAGCATAAAGGCTGTCTGTCTGGTCGAAGTTTTCCTTTTCTTAGCCTAAATTCCCCTTTTTCTCTTTCTTTCCTTCTGCCGTACCCCCCTCCCCTCTCGTTTCCTCTCCATCCTTGCGTCATTGTTTTGAATGGAGCATCCTCCCGGCTTGCATTACCTTCTGTCGGAGGAGAAGGGGGACCGGTGGGGGCTTGTGGAGGCGTGTGCTGCACCGACCAATTGCAGCCCGCCTTGGCCGCCGGACCGCACATGTTTACAGGCAGCATTCCGCCGGTAGAGGCTCTGCTCGGTCGGAGCCACACACGGACTGGATCTCGCAACGGCCAGAACCGGAGTCACCTAACGGTCGTGTTTTCAACCGGTTTCAACGTCTGCGCGGGGATGGCGATGCACACCGGCCGAGCGGAGTGAAACAGTTCGACGCATTTGTTTCCGCCCTGCTATGTCCAAGTGGTTTTCACACACATGACCCGCCATTTTGTTAAATCGTGTACAAATGTCATCCTTGTTCCCGACAGTGACCGTTAGTCCGTGTTTTCCCGCCGCCCCCTCAGCTCGCAAGGAGCAGTGGGGAAAACAAACAGGTCGAACGGAGGAAGATCGGTAGCCGGTTTAATTTGGAGGTTGTTTAGCGGCGAATGAATCGTTTTCATGTTGCGGGCTTTTATCGGGTGTTAATTCTGAGTTCTCGTTCAGTTTTTCGGTGCTTTTTAAGACGCCGTTTGGAGCTTTCGCCCTCCGAGTATGTTGCCGCTTTCTAACATTTTATCAGGGCTGTTGGAGCGCGTAGTCTATCCGCTGCGGTTTTGTGTTTTTCCCGACGTTGTTTACCGGTTGTAATTCGACGTTTAATGGTTTAAATTCACCGGTTCGCCGGCTCTGAGTTCAACGAGACACTTTTCGACATGCATACGAGGCGTTTAGTGAAGCGGTCGATCCTCGGCAGCCGTGTTTATGCGCCGAGTCCGACGGGGGACGGTGCCCCGGTGACAGGAGTGGTCCAGGCTGTCAAGCAGGAAAACAGAGACGTCTCGGCCGCGGGAGCTCGGCGCAGCGTCTACACTGTGCTCATGCAAGACGGCAGCCTGAAGGAGTTCTACGAGGAGGAGATAGCCGCCGGGTTCAACCACACTACAGCCAAAGTACCGCTCAAGTCCAGCTTGAAGGTGAGTACGAGCGAGCAAAGCGCCTCGGCCGGCAGGCAGCGCTTCACTGTTTTTGTTGTGCGGTGTTTTGCAGCGTTTAACCGCTTCCTGCACGTAGTGGATTTAACGGTGTCAGAGCCGCCGCCGCTGCTGCCACTGATGGCGAATTTAACCACCTGGGACAAAACCAGCGTTATGCAGAATATCCATTATGAATATTTGGTTGCATATTGCATCAAATAACGGACTGTCATGACATTTGGCGACATTACATATATGGGACAAAGGGCTTTATAGGGCCTGCGCAATGTGGGCTAGTGGGTGGGTAAGCCGAAGAAAACAAACACGCTCTGACTGCAGCGTTTTGGATTGATGTAAAGAGCCGGTCCGAGGTTATTGTACACAGGCTAATGATTTATTATGTATCACATTTATTCCAGATAATTCTCTGCTTCCTGCCTTAAATTGCACATTTGCTCTCAAGGAATATATTATATTTTGGACCTTTTTAATTTATATATGATGCAGCTTGTCACCCAGTTGAATATTATGTGACTATTATGTGAAGTGCACAACAGGGCTGTTATTGTTTAATAACATTTAAAAATAGATAAGTGTGGGCTTCCTGTGGCATTAGGGACCGAATAGGAAGTTTGTCCAAATTTGTAATCGTGATATGGGCCTAATTAGCACTGACCTAATTGCCTTCATATCCAACTTGTATGCTTTCGTGTCACATGGTCTCAGATAAAGATTGTGTGAGGAAGACGAGCCAATCTGGATGAAAACACTGTTTCTGGCATTGGGGAAGTGTGTGTGTGTGTGTGTGTGTGTGTGTGTGTGTGTGTGTGATCTGTCCTTTTTATAGTGAGGGAGTGACTGAGGAATGCATGTGACTGAATAACGGCTTGTTTACAGCCTGATTTAGATTTATTTTGATTGGTGTGGCTTTTCTGCCTGCTTGTTCATGTGTGTTGTATTTTGATATGTTACTGATGAAGCAACTTACAGGCTGCAATCGTGAGTCTTATTCCTGTACCAACACGGAAATATTTCGGTCACTGTTCGTTTGCCATCACAAGCTGGACTGCTCTTATTTACACAAAAGAAATATGAGCTATATGGAGGGTGTACATTAACAGATACAGCTGCAACACAGCTGAAATGCTTGTAAATCTCAAATGAAGTTGTAAACTGTTCTTTAAAACGTGACACAGACATATCAAACCCTAACAAAAGAGGAACTTAGCAGCTCTGTATGGAGAGTTGTCACAGATTTGAGTGATGGGAAATGCAATGTAAACTTGGGGTTCTCTTGTTTAGCATTTGCATATTTGTGTATGCGGTGCTGCACTCACAAAAGCTGTTGCACAATACCGCTACAGTCACCGGTTGTGGGCTTAAGTAGTGCAGATGGGGCTGAGAGCGTAGTCCTGTCAGCACAATGGTCAAGTCTCTTTCAGGACTCAGTTCCCACTGAGGTCGAAAAACAAGCCATAAAATGAGGAGGTGGGGTCTGTTGTGTGTTTGTGTGTGCGAGGATTCACATGTGCATCTGTGTTGCTCTGATGTGCTTTGTCCCACATGTGTATTTGTATGTTTAATGAGTTAGAGCTGACTACTTTATATTTTGGAGTGGGGGGGTTGTTTGTGAGGGCACGCCACCCCGTTTGAGCAGCAATTGTACAGCCAACAAAGCGGGCACCCCCAGGTTTGCAATGGCTGGCATGCTCCAAAGAATGTGGATGCCTGGCACATTGCCCAGAATGGCAAACGAATGCCCCCTGTTCCTTAAAGTGGGGGGGGTTGTGGGGGGGCAGGATACCACTTGTTGACTCATGGGTTTGTGCATGTGTGTGTTGTGTGAGCAATGTTACACAGATCTCGCTGCTAACAAAGAGGCGTTACTTGTTTTTGTTTTGGCGGCGCTTTTGTTGCCATTGCTGTTGTTTGTGTTGATCGTATGCTGATGTGGGAGTCAATGAAGCAAGCTTGTTGACAGTAGCTGAGTGACTCTTTGTTCTGAAGCGCTGATCCCAGGCAGGCAGGCCGGCGTCGTCTGTCCTCATTGGTTGGCTGAGCAGCATCAGCATGAAGCCCAGTGACCACGGGGTCAAGTCTGGATGCTGCCCCCACGATGTACAAGTGTTGATGATGTATGAGTAATCTTTCGGGGGTAAAGGAGGTGGTTGTGTTTATGTAGGAGTTATGTACTGTGCTATGAACACACAAACACAGGTTAAAAACACACATATGCACATTTTTTTATAAATATTTTTTGTATGCCGAATAACACCCTATATTAGGCCAAAAAGAAAAGACAGTTAGGACTACCAAACATAATCACAAATTGATCTCAACTTAACATTAAAACAGTCAGATGGAATAATGCAGCTGCTTGTTGTTATGGAAATTAGATTTTTAAAAAAAATAATTATCTGCCAATTTAGCTCGTATTTCGCAATACATTACATTAGTAGAATACTTGATACTACACATTAATATTCAAATATAATGGTTTCTATGATGAATGAGTTTCATGTGGTTTGGGAAACTCATCAGTGTTAATTACTTATTAGCTACAGCTGAGAAAATTTGGTGCCAACAGTTGCACTCCTTGAAATTGTGATTGCGATATAAAAATGATTGTTCAGCCGTAGACTAAGTCATATGTTATGTCAGGAAATCTAATGTAAGGCTGTTTCAGTGCAGCGTGAGATCGCAGATTAATCATTACCGTTCCTAATCCTGATCATATTCCCTGGATGTGCTAATACAAACACTTCCAAGCAACGGAGAACCACATGAGCTAAAAGACACAGTCAGTTGGGATTTTATGACATTCGGTCCGTGGGATTCAATTTATGGTCTGTGTCAGCTTACTTTATTATGACCTTTGACCCATAAAGGTTCAAGAATCTTTACGCTTGACAAACTGCCCAAAGCAAGTAGGTTATGAGTTTTTCTGTGAGTGGGAGAGAGAAGGAGAATGAGAGATAAAGAGGGAGGGGGGCGTATGAGGGACACTTGGGGTATCTGTTCCTGTGAACATGCACGCACACAGACACACACATACACACCAGCTTTGACACATGCAACTAAAATTTCACAACTGATTTGGCATGCTTCACAATTTCCTGGCCCCGTGAAATGCCATCATTCATAAGCCTGGCAAAAGGACGGAATTGCCGTTTGTTTTATCCGAGGAGGACTCTCATCCTACACACAACACCTAATCTTCCCCGCACCGATGTAATCCATCTTGTTGTTTTACCCAAGTCTCTGTTTTCACAGAGCGTTTTGCGCACCACTGACTGTTCGTGTGACCGGCCTCCATCATGATGAGCAGTCATGGGATACTCATATCTCATGTTGTTGTTTTTTTTTTTTTTAACCTCATTAATCAAAGTAAATTGTTCTGTTGGTGTTTGTGTGTGAGTGATTGACTAGGTTGCCGTTGCCTTTTCCACAGTCAAGCCTAATCGTGTTACAGTCCTTTGAGATAAAGATCTAGATCACACACACACACACACACTGTCCTGTATGTCATACTCAATGCTCTTTTGGCATGGGCAGCCGTGTGTGTCACTCTGGCTGTGTTCTGGCGTTTTCTCTGTGTTTTTCTAAGAGCCGGGTGGCTTTGGTTACTTACAGGGATGTGTGTGTGTGTGTGTGTGTGTGTGTGTGTGTGTGTGTGTGTGTGTGTGTGTGTGTGTGTGTGTGTGTGTGTGTGTGTGTGTGTGTGTGTTGGTGCGTGCGTAGGTAGGTACATGCAGGTATTCATGTGCAGAATGATGCCATTCGTTGCTGTTGTGTAAGAGAAGAGATCTTTTTTCCCCTTTTACATTGCTACAGGTAGGCGTTTTCAGAGCGTTGCGATTGGAGTAATGCTTTTCTTTTGTGATTGTGTGTCAGTGAGTATGTTGGTAAGTGTGTGTGGCACTGGAAAATGTTGTCTTGTGTAATGCCGGCTTTCTGTATGAAGTATGTTTGTGTATGTACAAACATGACACAAATACCTTGTAGAAGCACATTTGGTGCCTAGTATAGTAGTATAGTATAGTAATAGCCTTTGATACAATATGTTACATACAACCCATCACCTGCAGTGCTTCCCTGTGACTTTACAGAGACATGAGGTTGAGCTCAAATAGCAGAGAGCACCACGTGCACTTAAGACGGCAACAATAAGAATTTCTCCAGAAAAAGGCAGGGAACAGTTAAGCTTTTTGGCAATAAATGCTGGGAATAATACAAGGTCAATAAGAAAAATTCAGTATTTCAAGTTCTGAAATGTTATGATCCTCTAAAACTGAGGGAGAAGAAAACAGAGTTATAGGATTATAATTTTCCATTCTAAAGGTGGCCCGTCAAATGGGGTGTATCACAGCCGGGACTCTAGCCTGCGATGATTTAGTTGCATTTCATGTCCATTTTTTGAGCCCTACTACAACTTGCAAATATACCACAGTTTTTTTGTTTTGTTTTTAAAATCATCATCATCTATCATGTGAAACACCAGGAGGCAGCGAGAATTGGTTCGGGTGTTAGTGGTCCCACACGTACGCACACATGCCTGTGAACCACGGACTAATTATATTACTTTAAAATTTACTTTTTAAAGTAATATAATCTCGATGCAGAGTTGCAGTGAAATGATAGACGTGTCTGTGCTGTGTTTTCACTCTAAAGCACGATGATTGTGTTAGGGAAGAGCAACTGATTTAAAAGCAGACGCTTTTGCCTCCATTGAGTGAAATCCCGTAGGCTATGACTTAGGGCATTTTCATTGGTGTAACTGGGAACCTGGGCATGCTTGTCATCATAGAAATAGATCATTAAATTAAACTGTTTATTGCAACTTTGGCAATATCTACAGCTCATCCACTTTCTTACTGGAGCAGCTCCAGTCTCTGCCTGTCTGCCAACCTCCAGTGTTGATTGGCTATCACTTGTGACGTATAACCAAAAGGACCAGGAGTAAGACTACAGTGTAGTATTATTAGATAGTGAGATAGTATAATTGTAATCTGCTACCTGTATTATATACATAATATGTGTGTGTGTGTGTGTGTGTGTGAGTATAATGATTTTGTTCCTCTTCAAGTCAGTACTTCACTTTGTGATTTTTCCCTTAAAAGAAAACAGCACATTGTTATTTATGTAAACTGTTTATTTATTACCAAAGCATTTATCAGTAAAGATGGAAAAAATATGAATGTGTTGCCATGTCTGTTTAAGTTGTGTTTTCAAAATTTTTAGATGGTCCTCAGTCAGGAGAGCCAGTTCCAATAGTGGAAAAAGTTAGCCTGGACTCCTGATCGTAGCACTCACTGATGCACAATACAAACAAAACGGGGACCCACTCATAAAAAAATAGCTCAGTAACATTACTGGTGGTCAGAAACTCCAAAGTGTATCTTTGCCATTGGGGATTAATAAAATGAATCTTTATCTTCATCTTTAAGTAATGCACATACTACATTCTTCCTATAAGGTCTTGTGTCCTTAGAAACACTGGTGGCATATGAGTGTGAAGTTTTGCACATTTTGAACAAATGGCTTTTGTGTAAAGTTTAATTTATTATCATTCAGGAGAAGGCAGTTATAGTTGAACTGTCAACAGTATCTTGTGGTTTTTGGTTTTTATAAATCTCATATCTCCAAATTGTCTACAGGAACTAAGAAAAACAGCCTTGTTTTATCACTGACCATTGTGCATTTTTGAGTTTATCCAATCTGTTTTGGAAGGGCTTTTTTAAGCTCAAGTGGCTGGAAATTTTTCTTAAACCATATTGGATCATGTACTCTTTCATTTAAAATGTAAACATGAAAATCCTAAAAAATTTGGGTTACAGGCTTTCAACGGCTAGATTCAGAGCCCAGACCCCAACTTCTATCTGCTGCTGTGTTGAAAAACCTCTCCACTTTGTAATGGTTTTCATTTACTTAAGTAATATCTTTATATTTTAGTAGGTAATTTAAATGTTTTTTTTATCTTTATCTGACATTTCTGTATTGTTACTAACTTGCGTACATGGTTCTCTGTCCCCGCATTGACTTATTCTTTCTGCATCCCTCTCCAGCAGAGCTCCAGTAACGGAGCTCCAGAGAGCCAGAAGGTGGAAGGCGGCTCCCTCAGCCCAGAGGCAGTGGAGGAGCAGCGGATGGCAGACAGCAAGCGTATTGGCCGGGACCCCGATACCCGATCAGTGTCCTTGCTAGAGCAGAAACGCAAAGTGGTTTCCTCCAGCATTGATGTCCCTCACGCCAGGTAGGACAGTGTGCACATGCATGTATAGATGCGTGCCAGAGTCTGATTCCGGTCCTAGAGGGAGTTTGGCTTGACTTCATACAAGTTCACAGAAGGTTTATGACATAGTTATGTCATCTCATTAATAGGACAGAGATTATATGGAGTGATATCCCATTTGTTTTTCATCTGACCCTCATCCATTTTGGCAGACCACTGAATGCTATGTAATTTGTCAGGAGTCCACTTTTATTCCAATACATATATTTTAATTATATGCCATCACAGATGTTAAACGACTAATCACATTTTAAAGGATACGACATCATTATGGTTTCATTATGTTGGAATCCATTGAATGCTATGTAATTTGTCAGGAGTCCACTTTTATTCCATTACATATATTTTAATTATATGCCATCACAGATGTTACGCTGCACATCAATGGTGTCATTATGTTGGAATGAATGTATTCATTTCTGTCCTACGTATTAAAGGGTTGTGTACAGAATGTCATTTTTGGAAGAATCCCATGCTGTTGCCTTAACTTGCTGGAGCAATTATGGTTATGGTTATTTAAATGGCATGCCTCTGGTGGTTTCCCAAATTATAAAAGTGGTGCAACATGGACTCAAGGCCATGAGAGTCAACTAACATAGTAAATCGCATCAGTTACCCTCATGCACGTTTTTCCTGTTCTCTAGCAAAAACAGTATGGACTTAGACATGCAGTAGCCTTATAGCCAAAATAGACTTCTATAGACTTAAATAGAAGAAACATGCTTGAAATTTGTGTGGGAGAACGGCTATCGCTCTCATGTTTTAATGAAAGTGGGGTACAGAATCCATCTGATCCTACAGTATGTAACACAGAGCCCTATACAAATGAAAACAGTTGTTATATTGTGATGCATGAACTGTTCCCTCACACATTCAGCGATTCTCTTTACACCATACACACACACATTTTATTTCAAGGCAGTCAGCATAATCCACCACACTGAAGCTGGTCCACAATGGAGCAATTAAACATTAATAGGCAGCAGTCCATGGCAGTGAAGAGCCATCTAATAAAGAAACAACACTCTTTCACTATTAAATGTGAAACATTAATACCTTGTAAAGCACAGCACCGTTATCGAGCATCACTCCCCATTACTTGTCCTTATGCTGCTGGAGGAGTCCAATCGATTGGCAACTTGCTGAAAAGTACAGTAAAAGTCGCTCATTTGAGCAGCTTTATCACTGCATCTTGAGCCCTGCTTTAAATTTAATAGAGATTTGCTGATGAATCATTGATTAGGTTCTCTCTTGTTGCCCATTAAGGAGGAAAAAGCTCTTTTTAAAGTGAATCTATCCCATGGATTAGACAGAGGTTTCACCTGTCCCACTATAATTACCTCCTTGCATAGGGATTGCCATAATATTGATATTTATATGGTTATTGTGGAATGGCTTATTGATCATCTTACTGCCTTGTACAATTTCAGCTGTTTGCAGAAGCTCAGGGACAATCACTTTATAAACCAAGTTCCTGTTTATCTTTCTAATGAGACAATCGGTCAACAAGAAAGCCATGGGGAATGTCTTAAATCAAAAAAGTTACCCTCAACATGCAATAATCCTGATATAATGGTAAAGAGAAACCATAACCTTTAAAAAGCTTCACATCTTTGCAGTTATTAGTGTGGGCACACACACCGCATTTCAGTTACCCACCCAAGTTGTCTCTCCAGCCAAAATTCCAGCAGGAATGAGTATGTGTTGTTTTATTTTGCCTGTCCAGGCGTTTCTGAAGCGTTATTAGTTAGTGTGAGGATTGTCAGCCACACCTCCCACTTAAGTAGAAACAACAAGAGCTGTGTTTTGGACAGCTATGATAAGAAAATATCCAAAGCCTCTGGAAACATATGATGGTGTGGCATACCAGCTGAGAAGCTATCAGTATATTTATCAGAGTCTTTATTGTGTTTCAATAGTATGCTCTGCTGACACAAGTTGAACTTTTATCTTTCTATTTCTGTACCGCTACTGCTAATTTAATCATCTCCTCTCAGGTAAGAAAGAAAGGAGTAACTATAAGTATGTGAAGGCCATGTTGTGTGTGCTCAGTGCATAATGTTACAGTTCAAGTGTTACATACATATCATATGGCATTGACCTGTTTTCTTCATAAGCATTTATAAGTGTGGCCCGTAATGTAGATTCAGGAACAGAGAATGGGATGTTCTAGAAGTTACACTTAACTCTCTTATTGCATGTTTCTTGCTTCCAAATATCCTCACAGTTCAAGTTCAGCCAGTTCATCCCTTCTTAGTGTCACAGTGTCACAGGCTTTTTCTAGCCAACAACCCAGTCTTGACATCTAATTATTTTGTGTATAGCACTTTAAAGCCTAGTACTCAAAATCCAAAGATCTACTGTGCTTGTCAAGTGCTAAATCAAACCAACTGCAAAACCGGACCTAAAAAAATCAATTTTAGCCCAATTTATGAAGTGTGCTCACACAATCAAGAACATGGAAAGTTCACTCTTGCCACATCTTAAGAGCCTTAGCTGTTTTCTCAAATATCCCTATAGTGATCTCTTCAGTGCACAGCACCATTATTGCCTTGAGATTAAGATCCATAGCTCTCATCCTCTGCACACCTGCGACCGATTTTCAGCCTCACTCCTGCACTGGGGAAGAAATGGTGTTGCCACCGACCACAAAGTAACGTTTATCTGTAATGGAGACAAGGGGAGAGATGGAGGAAGGGAGGGAGGGGGGTTTGGAGGGATCGTGGAAAGGGGACGAGGTAGTAACAAGAGTGAAGGAAATGTATGTGTGTGGAGAGGAGGACAAGAGGGTAACGGAGATGGAGAGAGCATGTGTGTGAGTGTGTAGCTGTGAGGATAACAGCAAAAAAGAAGAGAGGGAGAGAGAATGCCTGAGGATTTTTTTCAGAGCTAGCTCTCTAGAGAAGTCTGACCTTGAGGTTGTTAATTGCACTCTCAAAAGTTCCCTCTCTGCTGGTGATTTACCAAGAAAATGTCTGGCTGTTTGATGGCTCTCCAGGTCCCTTGTAACCCAGATAGAATAGGTTTCCTACCTCACTGGGAGTCACTGAAGTACCTCAATGCCTCGTCTGCAATCATTGGGAAAATAGAGGAAAAATGACATTGTGTCATATAGATGTTAAACCTTCAGGGGTTTTGTGTAGCTACATTTTATGGTTCTGTCAGCCTGTCCAACTCTCATTACTTTATTGAGTCGCCTTCTTCATCGTATTTGTTTACAGCACATTTACTTTGCCTGCATTTCGTCAGATCTTACTCCCAAAATCAATAGGTGTCATTTCATGATTGACCTATTTTCTGCATTGCCCCAACTCCCAAATGCCCAAAGAAATGTTGTTGTTTTAAATGTGCTGTGTCTCAAAATACAGAGGCAGTAATAGCTCTCTGTGGCAGATTTCTGATTAGATTTTTTGTCATATTTATCGTCTGATTCTCTCTCTTTACTGAACTTTCAGACATCTGTACACATTGTCAGACTGTGGTCTTAGCCAGCTGCTGGGCCTTCTCCTTCCTCCAAGGGCTTATGTTTTCTCTATGCAGGAAACAGTCAATTGTAACAAGAGCTGGCGGGGGCAGACCAGTGGACCAGCTTTTGACAAATAGCATTCTGGAGACTAATTGCTAGCAGGGGAAGTGAAGTATAACCTTAGTTGAAGGGGAAATCAAGGGAGTGCTCAGTTTACTATTGCAAAACCAAAAAACAACAGATCTGAGAGTTCAGATCTTCTCCTCTTCAGACTGCACTACGTGTCTAGCATGAACTGAGGTTACTGATGTTTCTGAAAATAACTAGACCCCTTGCCTGCTCCCTCTGATGTTGTAAAAAAAGAATCTTATTCCAACACAACGACCATGTTTAATTTAGTTCATAGTGACTGATGACCATTCCATGTAGCAGTAAATTAAAGCGAAGAAGCTGGTGGGATCGGGCTGACTTCAAAACCCAATTCGATGCCAAAACAAAACTGTTTGTTATTGTTGATCATTTTTATTGTTGATCAGTGTGTTTGCAGTTCACAGTGCTGAGCCAACCATGTGTTCCACACTCGGAGCCTGGTGCTACAGCCAACTCAGACATGGAATGGGGCCAAAGACTCCCTATCCTGTGCAAAAAAGAGGCCCAAAAGGGCTGTCAAATTATCGTTTGTCTTTTGATGAAGGATCGTGGCTTTATAATCTGCTTGTTTTCCCTCTGCTCATGGTTTTGTTTATCTTTATGGTCACTTCTAACCATTTTTGGAACACTGCTACCGATATTACTCCATTTGCACAATGTGTTTTTGTGTTTGTGGCGAAGGAGGGCGTTTAAGTTTCAAAACGAGAAAGGAGGGGAGAGTGGGGCGTGCGCATGAGAGCAGTGTGGCTTCTCCGGAGAGTGAGTGACAGAGAGACAGAGTGAGAGAAATGCTCAGCGTTTGCCAAAGAAAACAGTTTTCCTGGTTTTGATGCCAATGGAGTTCAGAAACCATGCGATTAGCATCTGAAAAGACAGGTCTCATGATCTCTCTCTTTCTCGCACTCATTCACGATCCCACTCTCAAGTTTTTCCTGTAACAGCTTACTTGACCAAACCCAGCGTGTTGACACAAAATTTCTGTTGAACTGTATCAGATTGGCTGAACTACACACAGCTAAAAATACCAAACAGAAATGTGCTTGTATATAAAAAGGACATTGCTCAACATGTGTAATAGAGGGTTCTTGTTTTTTTAGGCACAAAAATGACTCCCAAAATTCCAAACGTTACAGGATTTGTCATAATGACCACTTTAGCAGGCAGTGATTTGTTAAGGAAATTGATTTTGCAGCATTCTTATAAGAAAAATGGCAAGTAAATTGCTTTAAAGCAAATTTTCATATTATTAATGGGTCCTTCCAATACCGATTATTTTCCAAAACAAATTTACAAACCCGTCTGCAAAGAAAACTCAGTATCAAAATCAATAAAGACAGGTTTTAGA